CACAGTCCCAGACAGACCTGTGGTCACTCGCTGTGAAGCTTTTTCGTGTGCTTTTTAGCACATACAGTACTGTAAAGTATTATTCAATAATAATATTGAATAATGGCTCCAAAGAAAGTGCAGAGCAAGCATGGTGGTAAAAAGAACATGCAGAGTGGTAATGAAGGTGACCAGAAGGTGCAGATTTTTCGCCAAAATTGACCCTGCAGCTAAGAGACAATGAAGAGAGGAGACCCCTGAAGGAGATCTCCCTGATGTCCTTATGGAGGGGGGCTCTCCTTCCAAACAATAACCTCCCCCCACCTAGGTTAGTGTTCTTTACTGTACTGTACTTTGTTACTTTGTTGTTAGTTTGTTTCAAATTTTTGTGATTTAAAAAAAATATTTACAGAATGGATTAACCTTATTTACATTGAACCTTATGGGCAAATTTGACTTCGTTCATGACCAAAATTGGTTTGCGACCATGTTCATAGGGGTCAGAATGGATTAACCTTATTTACATTGAACCTTATGGGGGAATTTGACTTGGTTCGTGACCAATTTGGGTCGCAACCAGAATTATGGAACGAATTAAGTTTGTGAACCAAGGTACCACTGTATAAAGGACTACATAACTAATCTTCATATAGGAAGCTGTAACTTCTATGGGAAACTTCTTTTATTTTGAAGACATAATCTAATTCAGGACATTGCTTCATTGTGTAGCTATGACTTCCTTTTTTTAAAAAAAAAGGTCTTCTGACTTTGCTGTCCTAATCTCATCCCATTCTTTCTGCATTTATGGCAAATTAAATGTATTAGATGATAACTAGTGGTTCTATCTAAACATATACATTTAAGTATACTAATTTTGATTCCCTTTGTATGACCAAACTAGCTTCAGATAAGTCACTCTTTCTTGTCATGGTACTTGGCCCCAAGCTGAAAATGATCCCTATGTGGCACAGTTCCCTATATTAATTTCTGTTATCAAATCTTTTTTTTTCTGTGACAAGGTTAAGATGACCTGGAAAATGTTTACTTTTTGCTTGCACATATATGTATGTATGTATGTATGTATGAAGACTAATTCCTCTCAAGATGAAACTGCAATATGTGAAAGAATCCTCTTTTTCTGCTGCGAATGCTGAACCCAGTCTAGGATTTTCATTAATTTACTAGGTTAGCTAGACACAGTTAATCTTTAACCTTAAGGTTACATGATTCCATTTCTATGAAATATACCAGAACTGTAATGTTTTCATTTAAACAGATGTAAAATCATGTAGAGTATCATTAATATGTGGTCTCTAAGGAATGGCCTTCTGACTAATTTGAAGTGTTGTTAAGAAGCACAAAACCTTTTACTGAGATAAAATCCCAGTACTTCTGACCAGTTACTAAACATTTATTTGCTTAAGAAGTTGCCCCCTTGGTGTGGAATGATATTTGTATAGGAGTATTAATATGTCTCACAGAATGATCTCAAACTGACAGTCAGAAAAAGACACAGGAGCCTGGCTGAGACCCATACAACTGTTATATTGGCATCAGTCTAAAGAAAGCAATGATACATTGCTTTGGAAATTATCAAGAAATGTAAAAAATGCATTTGCCCTTTTTTGTTGTTGTTGTCATTGTCATCAATGGGGTGGGTCTAGGTTAGGGTTAGAAAACAAAGCAGAAATATGTGCAGTCCTGTACATAGTGCTCCTTTGGCTGTCCCTTCAGACGATGGGGGATTGGAGTAATAAAACAGGTTGGATCCCTTGCAGTAGCAGCAACATCTGCATCATTTATAATCATCAACTTCTTCATCATGTGTGTTCATCTGAAGAGGCAGACGATGCAGACAAGTTCTGGGGCTAAGGGAACTCCAGCTCTGGATCATTAATCCCACATTTCCACTCATCATTAAATCATACAGAAAAAAGGAAGAAAAAGAAAATGCATCCAAAATAATCAGTTTGGTGGAATGACCCAGGATAATGGGGGAAGATGGAAGTCTTTGTATTTGCAATAAATGTCTTTAGTCTGCAGTTACAGAGTTGTTGAGCTCCACAAGTGGTCAACCTCAAGAGTGAAGGTTGGTTTTCGCCCTTCTAGAAAACAACCTAGTCTTTATCTTCATTTGCAGTGCAGTGAATGTATCCAGCATGCAAGCCCAATACAAAGGGAAAAGAGTGGACATTTAATGGAAACAAACTTTTTCCCTATAATGCCCCCAAACTGCCCCGTTTAAAGGAGGCAGTAGCTCTTTGCTCAAGCCCATTGAAGTCTCTCTCTTTCTATGTATATCTGTCATTCAGCTTAAGTAGCTGTGACACAATTACCCAGTAGCAAAACTGTGCTGGCACCAGCAAACTCTAACTCTTGTCCACCACCAACTTCTCAGTTACATGTATCTACAGGGCACCTTTTTGTCAGTGATTATACCAAATAGGTTGAAAACTGAGAAGAATATGTTAGAGAACTAAGATCTTATGTGATTGCTGATAGCATTTATAAGGGAAAGTGTTATTATCTGGCACTTGAAGTAAGAACGGAAACATCTTCCTCTAATCAGCAATGTAACTGGTATTCAAAATTTATAATTATAGCAGAACAACCTTTTCTGAATAAGTTGCTGCTTTTGTTGAATGCTCAGTTCTTTTTACTGTTTCCATTAAAAAGGTGCCTTACCCTTTATGTAAATGAATTCATTACTACCTAAGCCCAAGGCCTTTAATAAAGGATGCTTTTGACAGAAATTATAGCACCTGGATATAATAAAAACCTGTTAATTCCTGTCATACATGTATATGCTGGGATTAGTGCGAATAGAATGAAGAATCTGCATAAATAGGCAGTTTCACATGAAGACATAGGGAATGTACATAAATGGGCAGTGTAAATGGGATTTAAACAGTTTAGATCACATGCTTCCTGCTCTATATGCAACATTAGTTTTGGGCCCCTCATTACAGAAAGGATATAGCCAGGTTGGAGTCAGTGCAGCGTAGGGCCACAAGGTTGGTGGCCAGTTTGCAGGGGATGGGGTATGAGGCGAGACTGAGGGAACTGGGTCTCTTCAGCCTGGAGAAGAGGAAACTCAGAGGGGATATGTTGGCGACATACAGGTATGTGAGGGGGTGTCACATGGAGATGGGTAGAGACCTGTTCTCCCCTGCAGAGGAAGGCAGGACGCGCGCCAACGGAGCAAAGCTCAGGGAACCAAGGTTCAATTTGGATGTCAGGAAGTACTTCCTGACAGTCAGGACCCCGAGGGTGTGGAATGGGCTTCCACGAGAGGTCGTTGAGGCCCCATCGGTGTGGGTGTTCAAGGATAGGCTGGACGTCCACATGGTGGGCATGTCGTGAGCGGAGCCAGCTGGTGCCAGAGGTCAGACTAGATGGCCCAGGAGGCCCCTTCTGACTCACTCTGTTTCTATGTTTCTATCTCTGTATGAAAACAATTTTTTTGGACATATATGAAAATGTCATTTCAGTATCACTTGGAGACAGTGCATATAGACCTGGGACTACAAAATACTCATTACTTATGCTATCACATTTAGTTCTTCATGCCTTTTTCTATAGATGTGCAAATTTAATTTAATTCTCATTATTTCCACTAAATGCATGATAAAGCAGTGCAGTATTTATGATTGAGATGCATAAGAGATAGTTCTGTTGCAAACAGTGCTCAGGAGGCAAAGGAATAGCACCATATGCAACCAGTTAGCACTGGTATTATGCCACCTGTGGAATTAACATGTATATGGGATCAAATAACTACTAGCGTTTCTGATTATCACTGATGATATACTACTGGTGATAATCTTTCAACTGCGTATCACTGCCTTCATGGATTATCCTGTAATCATTTCATAACCAGTGAGGAATAATATAACCAGCTAACCTCCCCCAACCTTGCAATGCACACACTGGGAGTGAGGATTCTCTTCTAATTAACAGTTGGCTTACAGCTACTTGCATAATCACCATTTCTCATTGATTACTCAGTAGTTAATTGAATATGTGAACTAATTACACTGAAAAGCTTTGAACCCATTCTGATGTTACTTGAGTTGCATAATAGCCCCTGCAGATCAGCTCTCCTTTCTCACTCAGGTAATGTGAGAAACACCAGATCATGTAAGACAATTCTATAATATAGCTTCTCACAGCAGCATCACCACACTGAAAGCTGCCGATATGCTGGAAAAGAGCCATATTGTTCAGTCCTCCTATTTGGTTTGGGTTCAAACATTACCTTTGAGCATAGGAGGGATTCACACTGCTGCAGCTCTCATGCTATACATATAAATTTAGAATGAACCCTTTGGTGTAAATGTGAGGCTATATGAAAAATCATTCCATGAAAAGCTCTTTCTCCCCCTCCCCCACTATGGATCATTTACATATGCAGTTTATCATTTAATCTTACAAAGTGCACAATTCTATACAGGTCCACTCAGAAGTAGGACTCATTAAATTCAATGCAGTTTACCTCCAGGTAAGTGAGCACAGGATTGTAGCATTAGTGATGAATACACAGATATGAATAGGTCCATAGTGATTATAAGTAGACTATCAAGGCTGGATCACTGTTCTAGCTTAATAAAATCCAAGTGAGGATGCATGATATAGTGAATGCATTTCTACAACTGGAGTTTTGAGATTCGTCAAGTACAAGCTTAAAACTAAAAATCTCACAGAAATGTTTTCAAGGAAGATTCTGGATTCTGCTGTATAGGCAGTATGGCTATTGACTGATAGGCCAAATTTAATTCTGGAAAGTTTACACTAATATGTTGAATATGTATGCGATTGTGTAATATGCTTCCAATGGCCAGGAGTGAATGGTCATTCTCAAGCAAGATTTGATTTTTTCCCCCAGTTGGTTCTTCCTCTTTAAAAACAAGCAGTCTTCTTTAGAAACCTGGAGTCTTCTACAGGGGAATGTATTGTTGAGGAAAATCTGGAAGACAGTGGTCATAACAACAGAAATATTTTAAAAAAAAAAGAGAAGCAAGACAAAAAGGGTTTTCTCTTTAATGTGTTATGAAAAAATGATTTGACATGGACTGGAAAACAAAATCAATGCTGTCTATAATTTTTTGTTAAGTGTTTTGCATAAATTTTTGTAGAAAAGTGGGATACACATCTATTACATATAAAAATAAGTTCTTCGTGCCTTGCAGCCTCCTTGTGATGCCCCAGCATTCCATTGTTCAAATGCTTGGAACTGGAAGGAAATACTACAGGTCCAGGGAAAGGCACTGCACAAGTCAGGAAATGTCTCAGAGGATTCCAGGTATGTCTGTAAATGCAGAGTTCGCTCCCTAGGGAGATTGACCACATGCCTTTCTTCATTGCTTTAAGGCATGTTTTGAAAATATCCTTACTATGAAAGATTTTTTTCAGGAAGATTACAATGGAGTTTACCTGGGAGCAAGCCCACTAAACATAGCGAGGCTTTTTAGTGGACATGTATAGAATTGAATTGTCCTACTTTTATTGTATTGTTTGCCATACTGAATTTTAACTATTTTCAATTGTATATATACCAGTTTAATAAAATAAGATGCTTTGTGAAGGTTTGTGCTTTGAAAAACAAGGTATAACGATATGTGTTAATAAACACATATATTAAAATAATGCCTCATTGCAGAACAGAATTAAGTGTGTCAAGACCATTAATTTCAATGTGCTTAATACACTTACTTCTGTGTTACATTGCAGCCAATAAGCCCATACTTATTTCTGAAAATAAGAAATAGATAGGGGCAGTGATGTGGGACAGAATCTTTTAATTTCATAAGTTTATTAGTAAAAATGAATATTTGTCAGTTTCAGCAAGACTGAACGTGCACCAGCAGTCTTAGAGGATGATAGTTGAACTCTGTGGAAATAGGTGAGTTGTTGTCAGCATAGCAAACACTATTGCTGAAACTAATTAGTGTGTCAGCATTTTTTGTCCTTTCCCACGTTTAAACAATAGAAAGGAAATACTTCCTTAATCTTAACAAGTGCTCCAATAAATAAATGAACATAATATAACATTTAAGTCCCATCAAGAATTCTTTAATTCCCCCCTCAAATATTTTGTCAATTACTTGTGGTGTATATGTAACATGGGTTCACGTTTAACTGTATTTTTTTACTAAATGCAAGTAAAATAAGCATGCTAAATTAGGTCTCTCTGAGGCATCAGCAAGTTTTTCAATGCAAATTAATTAATCTAATTTATACTGGAAAAAATCCAATGTAAAAATTTTCCAGAAAATCCGTATCACTGAATGGGAGAGGTCAAGTGCTTATAAACATGGGGCTTTAGAAGCAGTAGAGAATATTTCAGTTTATACTGATGAGGGAAAGGCAGATGTCTAGGTACAAACTGATAGCAACAGTTTTTCTATATACATAAACTAGAAGTATTTACTCTAGGACTTTAGTAAAAGCCAAATGTATACAAGAAGACTTAGCTAACTAAAGATTCTGACTTTATATAGACTTCTGAAAGTATGAACACTATCCAGCTTTTAAAAAGCTTCCATAGACATCTTATGTAAAACACTTCTGTCATAGTTAAATTTAAATGCATTTAATGTAATTTAAATGAACATTTTTTGTCATTCTCTGTTGATATGCACCAAGGTCTGCATGTGCATGTCATAATGGTTTTGAGAGCATCTTGTACTCAGAAAGGTGCTGCATACATGATTTTTAGAACTGTATTATTGCATTGAAACTCTGGCTACATGCAGGTTTCCTGCTCATGAATTGCAAATTATGCACACAACCCTAATTATGATCAACACTGTCAGAATAGTGTGGTCACCTATTTGGTAAGACTTAATCCAGTCACTCTCTCTTGAACAAATAATTGTTGCTGAAAGATCATGGTGCTGATTGATCATTTGGTAGCTGGTGGCAGATGCACTCAGACCCATACATGCAAGCAACATATGAGCATTATTGAGGTTATGGTAAACAACTGATACCTAGCTTTCTTTCATATATTTTTAAATTTTTAGGAACAGTCAACATATTCTCCCCTGGCCCCATTCATAATTTCCTACCGTGGGCTAGACACACCAGGCTCTTTCACATTATTTGGCTTCAGTTATCATTTTGTGTATTCTTCCTAATTTGTCTATGTCCTGGTAAAGTGATTCTGAAAACAATTTCTAGTTAAATTTTATACAGTTTTTAGCTAGTGCATCTTAAATTGATACCTGCTGGTTTATATCCCGAACATGAATTATATTCATCAGAACTTTTGAATATGTATTAGCACTGCTACTGCTTAGTGAGTTTTTTGCCATCTTATCCTTGTCATCTGGTTCTTTTCCCTGTGGGTAATATATTCTTTAAAAATTCCATCTTAAATGTTATATGTTTGTTTTCTGTGTTTTTCTAAAAGTATAAAAAAAATTCAGCTTCTCATCTAAAGAATTTCACTCTTTCTAAACATCCAGTTTGTTTAAGCCTCCTGTATACCTCACCTCATATAAAGAGGGCACTAACTCCTTAAGTTTATTTCATGTCACTACATTATCTTTAGTATTTTCTTTCTATATCGTAAAAGAAATAGGATATTTCTTTCTTCCCAGTGTTGCTGATGCCAGCTCAGTTTATAGGCATAGATCTACCTGACAATCCTGGCACATAAAGTTTGCCATCCTTTAGTGAGGAGAATCATTGAGAGAAACTGTGCAAGGGGGTGAAATCTGGACAAAAATTCCAAGCTTCAAAAACCAAGATACTTCCCAATTCGTCATTGGGCATGTTTAAGGAAGTGCAGAAAAAGGAAAATGAACACAAGATATGCAAAATCAGTTAACGTTCAACCTGTCAGTGAGTTGTAGAATAGTTACTTAACACCAGGTACACTTTGTTCATTGTACAAATGAAAAAAAATGAAAAAGTATACCCTTTCCCCTAACCACATGTAGAAAAGCACTTGAAAGTTCAAAGGTAAAGCTTGGCACACTCCATATACGAAATGATTTACTTTACATGCAGCAAAATATACAAGAATTATTATTTTCCCTTAAACAAACTTAATTCATTATATTTGCTTGGCACAATTGCAATTCATTTTAAAAAAATAGTTGAAAAATACTGAAACTGACCTGAATTCAAGTATTACGGTTTCTTCAACAGAAACATTATCAATGCAATAAAACATCACACAGAATATATCGAAACATAACTCCTTCTCACTTGGTTTTGTTTGTTTTAATCCCCTTGTTTTGCTTTTCTATACAGTTTTAATGCCAACACAATTCACAAATTGTATTCAAAATTAATATTATTGCATTGTTTTTGCATATCTTGTGGAACAGAAAATGCAAAGAGTTACTGATTCCCCTTTCAAAAGCAGAGACAGTGGTTTATTTTGCACACTCAAATAACCCCAGATACAGTCCTCCCGCAGTTATAACCAGGAAGTGGAGAACTGTATGAACTTACACACTTTCAGGCGTGTATTCGCATATTCACTCAGTCCTGCTCACTCATTCACACACTCACAAATATACCTAGCGCTATAAAGAATCCAGATCGATCACTCATATGTGCAAGACTATATCAAGTGCATTGCCTACTATCTTTAAATTATAAAAACAACAACAAAAAAGGAATTTCCCATTACTTCAAATAAAATTACAAATTCTGGTGTACATAATGGTTGGCAAAACTCAGTTCTAATATCATTATTAGCTTCTACCAAATTTCAATGGAGGAAAACAAAAAAATTAAATAGTACAACATAATCAAACCAATTTTAAACATTTGAAAAGGTGGGGGAAAAAACCCAAAAAGTAGGTGATTACAAAACTTTGTAAACACTCCTTCAGCCCTCTCCCTCAAAAAATAAAACACAATAAAATAAAATATTCAAAAATAAAATTTAGAACATGCTTTCAAGGAAATATCAAACAACAAAAACAAGGAGAGATCTACGTAAGCCCATCACCACCTCTATTCGAAATGGGTGGGTCGCCTGAACTCCGGTTTGACAGAGCTGGCTTCCTGCTCTTTGAGCAGTTAGCACAGCTAGCTGTCTGAGCTCTGATTGGATGGCAGGGAAAGCTGCCTGAGCTCTGATTGGTTGGCAGAGAAAACTGCCTGGGAGTCTCTGCATTTCCATCAAGAAGCATCTGCAATATTGCCACCTGTATCTCCTGTACCCTTGCAGCTTCTGCCTCAGCAAAGTATGGGGAACTGTTGCAGAAGTCTTCTATTCCACCTGTAGATCAAAAGGGCCTTGGCTTTATGGAGACGGTGAGGCTCATACAGAATATGTGCAAAATGATTCTTCTTTTGTACAAGCAAAGTTGAAAGACACCCGTTTGATGCAGTGTCCTTTTGGCTAGGGCCATCCACAGGAAGCTGAGGTTTTTCTTCACATTCAGGAAGCAGCAGTTGTTCCTTGTGCAGGGACTGAAAAATGGAGGGAGTTGACTCCCCTCCTTTTACTTCTCCTCATTCTTCCTTCATGGACACATGCTGGGGTTGTATATTCACTCCTGAAAAGCTCTTTTACACCACCCAACTCTGCGATTCTTCCCGACAGAAATGAATGAAGAACGCTGTTCTGGTTACTCCAGGTCACGAGAACAGTGAGGCACTTCTGAAACAAACCCATTAGGAACATTGAAACAAATTAAAAAACCAGCATCACTTTCAGCCTTGGCAACTACAGGCTGCTGATATAAATCCTGCTGTCCTTAGGCTCCTCTTGACTTTTTCTACAATCTGGGTTCTGGGCTGCTTCCTCTCCCATACAGTCCTGCCCTGGGTCCCTGCAATTAACAAAAGGCAAGAGGTTGCCATTAGGGCTTGGCTTGCTGTTACCATTGAGAATGTTGTCTGCAGCATTCTCCATCTCTTCTATTGTCAAGTCACAGGCATCAGCTAGCTCTTGGGTCGTGACCTCGATGAACTTTGGATCTTGAGCAAACTGCATCAGTCCTTCCGAAATCAAGACCTTTAATGAGCCAGGAGAGCAAACAGAAGGAACAGAAGTTGAAATTATTATTAAAATTACTTGTTATAGTAAGGGCTGAAACAGCATCATTAAAGATATTTGGAAGTAAAAAAAAATGAGGGAAGCTTTGCAGCTCAATGTAAACTCTTTCTGTAAATGGAAAGCATCATGTAAGGATTTTTCCAGCTTCCTGCTTCCCTCTGCAGTCCCTGAAAACTTGCTTCTGGGGGTTGGGAGATTAATGGGAATGGTGTAAGAGAATGGAGATTGAGCAGTGGGGGAACTGGCAGAAATCTTTCCCAATATATAAAGAAGGAACTTGGCATCTAAGATAGAGAAAAACAGTTACTTTGGTTAGAAGATATTAACCAAAGATAGAACCAATACTTACATTGGTTAGAAGAATCTTATTTGGTTACTTTTGCTCCCAATCTACAGTATAGAGCTAATGGAACAGCTATTTTCTTCTCCCCCAGAGCCATCAGCACATACTAACATATCGGTTGGCATCCTCCTGGTTGCAGTACATGCACAATTTAGTTCATGGAATAGCTCTAACAGCATGAACCTACACTGCTTGTATACTATGATTATTTCTTTAAATGTGCCAGGAGATAAAGCTATCACTGATAAAATGTTCTAATTAAAAAATAGCAAACTAGATTTGCTATAAAAATGAAACAATTAGAACTGTGTGCAATTACCCTGTGTGCAATCAGGCCTAGTAATCAAGCTCTGCTATATCCTTCAACACCAACCTCCCTAGCTTCTAACTGACAAGCCCCACCTCCCTATTTTCCTTATTTTGGAAAAGGCAAAGGAAGTCTCCAAAATGGCACAAATGAGATGAAAAATTGTGGTTTTGTGCAAATTAATGGTTTACCTAAGAATCTTGCCTTCATCTACAAATAAAGTAAGGCATAACTCCTTAGCAATATAGTACCTGTGCATGTGATTCATGATCAAATAAATGTAACTGGGGACTTGATCAGTTACATCTCTAAACATTTGGCAATAGGATCTTTAGCAGTTAGCTGTGAATTATTACTGTCCCCATGTGAACTCACCGCTTCAACAAGGCTGTTAGCGCTGCCGTGAAATTGCCTGCCACACTCTCTGGTCTGGCTGGGAACTGTGAGGGAGACTGGCCTGGCTTTTCGAGTGCTGCTAGAGCTGGTGCTGTCAGAATACAAGGAGCTGCAGTATACTGATGGGAAGCTATTATTGAGTTTCTCATTGGACTCCTCTCCTTTGAGCCGCAAGGTTTTAAGAGGCTGCTGTAGCCAATCTCGTGTACAGAGTGTAGCAGGGGGTGTGGCACATGACCGAGAAGACCTTATGGGTGAATGGCTTCTTTGAAGAAGAGGACTCAGACCTGCAACCGCCAGTGCCTACAGAGAGAAAGAAGAGAGAACATGGTAAATGATTATGGCTGCACATTGAATCAGAATATGGAACAAAGCTGTAGAAGCTGCCTAGAAAAGGCTCAATTTTAACTGGGAACATGGCAGATATGGACTGTTGAGCACTAAATAGCATTGATTTAATATTCTTCTGCCTAATAGTTTGAATTAAAAGCTATTGTTCTGTTACTGGTAAAAAGTAGAAAATGGATTAAAATATAAGTTGGTGTCAAATTGGATGAGCATCTCCTCTATGTCCATTTGCAACTGGTAATTTGTTCAATTGAACTTAAGTCTAAAAAGGTCAGATGACTCTGCCCATTTCACTCATTTGTGTACAGCTCCATGTAGAAATTGATTAATCTTAATTGCACTGGTTTGGTGAATTCTAAGATAAATACTTTAAGGTAAACAGCTTTAAACTATAATGTCCAATACTAGATTGTATATTTATTTTATTTATTTTATTTTTATTTTTCTATTTATATCCTGCCTTTTTCACACAAAGGACTCAAGGCAGCTTACATCTCCTCCTCCATCTTATGACTCTGCAATTGTCCGTACATATTGATTCTACAAAGCTTTGCCACTGACAAAGCTTTTATATCCAGGTAGAAAGTAGTGACTCTTTTCTGTATCTTAAGGCAGTTGACATATGACAATGGTTTTCTGATTATCCTAGACATGCACAGGATCCTCTCTGGGCTTGCCTAATGTCTTGTTTATATGAAATAGTACCTCCATAAATGCGATGCATAAATAAATACCATATGACAGCATTACCAGAATAGAAAACTCAGTGGCTTCATATTAACTACTCACATAGGTCATACAAATAAGTATATCTATGAAAGATCAAGCTAGGTATGAGGATTTAAGTGTTGGCCTTCAGTTAAATATGCCAAACTAATTACAGAATCAGAAATAAGGAGGGAAAAAGTGAAAACAATAGGAACTACTTTAGATTTGTTTTAAAACATTGTTTATTAAATTTTCATTTAGTTGGAATGAGTTGGACTAAGCATGAATTTCCTATAGTTGGTCTATAAGAAATTCTAATCATCTAATTAACATGAAACGACTAATACTGCCATCTGGTATTAGGGTATTTATTTTTCTCCATGCTAATATAAGTAATCAATGACTGCTACTGTATTTGTAAGTATTACAGCTAATATTTAAGGCAACAACACAAAAGACTAGGCACAAGTCCAAAGGTGATCCTAAATAACCCTGAAACAATTGCACAGTGGAGCTGCCATTATGTATGAAATGACATACTCTCTGCTACCTGTGCTGATCTCATCAATATGAATTAGTCTTTGTATTAGTAGTTCTGAAAAGTGGATGTTAAGGAGCAAAACTGTAAAGAGACAATTTTATTTTATTTATTATTAAAACATTTTTATGCCGCCCCATTCGCCGAAGCCTCAGGGCAGCTCACATCATCAAGTTAAAATAATTATAATATAAATTAAAAATATAAATATAAAATTAAATTAAATTAAAATACAACAAATTGCTTTTAACATGCATTCATTTCTTAGAATATGTCCTCCTTCATGGTCTCTATGCATCACAAATACATATTTACAGAAAGATCACAAATACATATTTACATACAGAAAGAACATATTTCTGGTAACCCAACCAATTTCATTTGAATACTCATCTACCATTTGGGCAGCATTGCCTTTAGGCCTCTCACTACTAAAAAGCCTTCTGTACTTTAGGTCAGTGCTTCTCAAAATAAGGATTAGAACCTACCTGTGGATCTCGGCCAACTTTCAGATCCGTTTCAGTGCTGCAGACTGCCTAGTGCCTATGTGACTGCCCTGTGGCATAGCTACACAATGTGCAACTCGTAAGCAACTATGGCAGCAGGACTTAGGTAGAGAGCAGGGTTAAGATTTTTAATATTTTAATAAACTGGGAAGGAAGTTAATATAAAAGCAGCAAGGGGAAGGAATGAAAGAAGCTCAGCACTGGGGTATGCTACAAGTTAAATATGAAAGAAGAGAAAAGAAATAATAGATGGATATGAAGATAATATAAAATAAACTACTTTTCTCTATTTAGAGAAAATATCCCCAAGTTCTTTGGGCTGGTTGCTACATTTTGAATACTGAGAAAGTATCATGACCAAAAAAACACAGCTAGCATAATGAACATGGCTAGTCACAAAGTACTCATTTCCTAGAAGGCAACCCAAGACAATATTAAGTAGCCAAATATTATAAAGTCGGGGGGGGGGAGCTGAGTATCAACCAAAAACCACTACTTTGAACCCAAATAAATGGCAGCACTTTGTTTTGCAGCATAGAAACCTACAGTTAAAAGAAATAAAACAGTCTTAAATACAATGAAAATCAGGAGAAAGGAAGAACCTAGTGGGCACCAAGACACACATTCATTAGCACATTTCTGCCCAGGGATGCATGAGCAATCCAGTTTGCAGGCACAATCTGTCAGATTTCCTAAGGCTGGCACCCTGCTCTCTGGTCCATTTTCTTTGCCTCGCACTGAACATTCATGCAGGCCCCCAACAGGAAGCAAGTGTGTGAGGGCAGCTCACACCCATGCTGCCCACACACTTGCTGTGCACGTGGAGCACTGCTTCTGAATATGTGATTTGCAGGCTTTGTGTATACTTTATGTTTATTTTATTTATTTAGAAAATTTCTATGCCGCCCCATTCGCCGAAGCCTTGGGGCGGCTCACAAACATAAATAACTTCGATAAAATAATATAAATTAACAGTATAAATTAAGTCGCCCTGGCCAAAGAATAAAATAAATAAATACTATTAACAGTTAAAATGACATTTGAATAAAAAGGTCTTCGCCTGGCACTGAAAAACAAATAACGATGGTGCCAGGCGGACTGCTCTCTTAGTGCAAAGAATTGTGTATTTTATGTAAAGAAGCTGCTAAAGTTCCCAAGCATTTGCAGACTTGATCTTGGCTGGGCTCAATTCCTCAATTCCCAATTGTGGGAAAAAGTTCAGCAAGTTGGGATTCTGACTGAATCTTTGCATCCCTGTTGCTGCCTAGGGGTATCATGCTGGAAACTCACACTTAAGAGTTTTCGGGTTTGCAAATTGTCAGGTCTGCAAATTGTTTCTTAAATGGGGATTCTGAAGCATATTACATCAAGAGCTAATCTGTGTATTTAACTTGAGGAAAACGAGAATTCCCAGGTACAAGGAAATAACAGAGAATTTATCAATTTTCAAAGCAGGATTAGATATGGATAGAAAATGCCAGCAATAATCATTTGATTTTTTTCAAATTCTGCCTCCAATTACTACCACTGTATAACTGATAGGACTCAGTAATTTTCAGTTCTCTCAATTGGACCTTCGGGATATAAATCTGAGAACCTCAGCTTTAGGCTAAAGAACACAAACTGTCCTTAAAGAATTGTTGAAATCTCATATGTAGTGAGGCTTACTTCATAAACTTTAATAAAGTAATTTTGTTAGCTCATATAATGAACTAGTTTCCAGCATGAATAGGTTTAGCAAAATCTAAGGAGTAAATGACAAGAAGCTATGATCAGCAGGGTTGTCTGGAAGATGCTTGTGCTGTGTGCCTTATCAGGTGGTGCAAGACCAGAGCCGGGCAGCTGGTGGCAACTTGCATGGCGTGCTGAGGGGGCAGCGGTGGCAGAAGCAGTGGTATTCTCAAAGCTGCATATAAGGGCAGCAACTCACGCTTAGCCTGCTCTTCCCGCTTGCTCAGGGTTCCTGCTGCTGTCACCAGGGGAACTGAGCTGATCATAGCAGGAGGAAGGAAAGAGCTGGCACAAATCAGTTCTCCTGGCAATGGCAGCAGCACTGAGTGAGCAGGAAGAGCGGGCTGAGCTCAAGTTGCTGCTCTTATATGCTGCCCCTTTGCAGCTCCTTTTCAGGGATTTTTTGCAGACTGGCAGAAAATCTCCTGCGGGCTGGCACCAGTCCACAGACCAGCGGTTGAAAACCACTGGTTTAAAGAAACAGAAAAGAAAAACTTGGTATACTTAAGTTCTATTTTTTACTTGCAGCTTCAGAATAGTTTTGAGTTCATTTATCTTAATGCTAAATGTGCAGTGAAATAAAACCCCTTTGCTTACTTTTCAAGCTTAAAGAGAAATCAACACAAGCAAGTTCATTAGTGGGGGAAGTGCAGAGATGGCACAAATATTGGAAGACATTATTATGGGCAAAAAGGGAATATACTTATTAGAGACATAAATAGCCAGAGGATGTAGTGGTGTTACAGTTTTCAACTAGGACTGAAGAGATTCCACTTTACTGTGAGTATCACTGGATGAGGCTCAGTTGGTAGCCTTCAGCCTAATCTACTTCATATAGGATAAAAAGAGTTGAGGGGAGAGGAATATGGATGCCTTGAAATTCTTGGAGAAGCAATGGAATATAAAATGCAAGAAAGAAATAATAGTTCTTTGTGGTATCATAGATATGGGGCCTGCATGGAGCCCCACTCAGGAAACTTCTATAGCTGATGAATTTCTGTCAGAAACCTTCCCCTACTGTCCTCTTGAGCATATCCCTAGTAGGTTGTCACCTAGTCCCTCAATTCTGTTTGCCAAGAGGAACTCTTCTGGTTATTCACACCTCATAATAAAACTGCTGAGGTGTTTCTTCTTCTACTTATCTTTCTGTTCTCTTGTTCTTTCCTCTCCTTAACTCCTTTTTGATTTTTTTTGGGAATAATCTGTCAAAGATTATTGTAGTAAAAACCTCCTGCACTGCACTTTTTTCACTTGTAGGGGATAAAGAAAAAGAAAAGAAACTGAAGGCAACAGTGATCAGGCCAGCAATGGAACCAAAGCTGAAGTTGTCTAGCTTAGTACTGATTGCTCTATTAGCCATACCAGCCCTGTGCCAATGCTTGATTTGTAGACACTGCTCCAAGTGGAATATATATAACTGGCTGTAGGGGGCAACCCTCTGCAGGATCCTGCACTGATTGCATCTGTGTTAGAAGGCAAGATCAGAGAGATGTCACCAATTCTAGTGCTGACATGGAATCTGACAGATCACTGGGATAGCTCTTCCTATCACCAGGGTCAAGGATCACCCTATCCTCAAGTCAGAGACATCGTACATCTAGGGTATACAAGAAACAGATCCTGCTTTCAGTCTGAAATAGTTGTTTGAACTGGGACCCACCACCTTGATGCCACTACTATTAGAATGAGCTGCATTCTGGGTATGGTGTGCAGACACTGGATACCTGTTACTGCGATTGTTCCTGTTATCTAAGACCCGTCTCTCCTAATCCATAGTGATGCACACAAATGGTTATGGTTTCTTGGCTTTCATGAGACCAGATATTCTTCCTGGTACCACCTGTGGTCCTCCTGTTGTAATGAATAAAACAGGAGGACCACAGGTGCATGGCATGGCATCACCAATGCAGCAGTTGATGCAGACGTTGGTCTTGTGAGTGATCATTTCTGTCTTGCTGTCATCTTCTGCAGCAGTCACAGATTGTGGTTTTGTTCATGCAACCGTTCTACATTCAGCCACTCTAAATGCTATTCCTGGATTTGCGCTTGGCCAGTACTAGACCACATCATCATTTCAAATTCCTAAGGTATTTGTGTATCCTATCAAAGAACATCCCAGCTTGTTTTCACATATGTCCCCATAGTCAGTCACACAATCAGTTCCTATGTCTTTTTCGTTCCTTGAACTGACCACTTCATAACTGGATGCAGCAATGGGCAATCAGGACCTGGCTTTCCCTTCAGGCCAACTTTTCAGGGCAGGTACTCTATATAGCACAGTCCCTTGGCTCAGAAGTGCAACAACTGGTTGTGAAGGGGAAAGATTCTATGCTTAACATGGTTATGCACAGAAGTGTCAACTCCTTTTGTGATCCTTTTAAAAGAATGTTACAAAAGCCATCCAACATCTTGGAAAACTCCATCCACTAGGGCTCCAATATCAAAAAGACTGGAAAATATAGGGTGAAAGAGAAAAAAAGTGGACTTTCTATTCACATGCCCACCCCTAAATATCTCATAGCATCTCTTATGGGAAATTAGGAAGAGCTTGCTGCTTCTCCCATGAAAATGAAGGGCAGACTTTTGGATCTTACGGGCTGTCAAATTTACTCCTCAGCATGCTGGGTTTATGAATCTTTAGTGATTAAGAAGTGATGTTGCATTATTAACTGTTCTTATGGAAAAAGGTAGGAGCAGTTACCTGAGTATAAGAAAGAATTACCTCTCCTCCCAGCAAATAATCATGGTTAGACATGAAATCGTGTTGCCAAGGTGAATGTCAGATCCATGGCCTTGAGGTGGCTGCTAGAGGACACAATTGAGGACCTTCTCTTTAATGGGGAGGGTCTGTTTAACTACCTTCCCATTCAGAAAAAGAATGGGGTTTAAAAGCATCCCCAAGTGGAGTACATTTAGGTGGAGTGTGATCCTACTAGTAAAAGCTTAGAGATGGAGGCTCACCTGATGATGTACCAGATGCAGGGGTAGTACTGTCTTCTGTGCAACTTCTGTACCCTGGTTTTTCTGTCTCTTTAGACACTCCAGATGAAAGGATGCTCTCCGACCTGCAAAGCACATGGAGATGATGCTAATTTAAGCCATTTTCACAATATGAGTTGGCAGTGGAACCTCTTGTTATGAGGCGAACAGGCTCCCTATACTGTATTTGCCTTGTGTAACTGAGGGGCAGGGGCATTTCTGGAGAAATTAGAAGAGGATGCTCATTGCTTCTCAACCCAGCTTTTATTTCCTGCAACTATGATTCTTGACCATTTTCATTTTTAGTCTACTTTTCCCCAATCATAAATAAGCTTGAGGGAAAATAGAGCCAGGGGCATTTGCAGAAGAAAAAAAAGTCAACAGGCACATAGAAGGTTAAGCACCCTTAGCTGATTCTTCTTAGAAATCCTCACCTGTCCTCTCCTGCCTCCACATTCAAATTCAAATAATATTGACAAATATAGTTTTGGGATCATATCACTCTTATATCAAATGTCATGTATTTTTCACTAAGATACTAAGGTCTGCATTATATAATACCGTGCGCGCGTGTGTGTGTGTGTGGTGTTAGAACATGACAGAACATTTCACCATCCCAGTTGATTTAGATACAGAAAATCAGCATGGCAGGAAGAAGTGTAGATGGAATCCCTGTCTGCATGCTAGCAAGTTCTCCTGTCTTGCAAGCTTCCACCTGCCATCTGGAATAAAATGACTTAAGTGAAGTCTTTAATTAGCATTATTTTAGGCTATCTGTAGAGATAAAACCCCAAAGCAGTGTATGGAATAAAACCATATAAAATACAATAGACAATAAATAAAATATACAAACAGATACTATAAAAATTGTGAGAATAAGTTACACCAATAACTGCAGCTCAAAGTTTATGGGAAAGCCAGTGAAAACAGGTGGGTTGTCAGAACTTTCCTGAAGTCCTGCAAATAAAAGGCCTAACCAAAACCCCAATGGAGGCTGATTTACAAGTATTTATGGAATTTATCCCACTTAGATTAAGGGTTTTATATCAAAACATCCAACAGCTTTACTGTATGTTTCATATATACCTGTCAAATTGACAGAACCCCAATATATGAATATCCACATGTGTGTGTTGTGTGCATGTATATGCATACACAGATAAAAGCAATTGTGGAAATATATACAACATCTGCACAGATCTAGCTTCATGCTTTTCAAAGAAGTAAAGTACATAGCAAAAAGCAGAACTTGCACCCTTTAATGGAATTTACAAAAAGTATGCATTGCATAACATGGTGGAATTATTACTTAGTGATGAGGAATGCAGGAACCCAGTCTTTGGAGAGTGTTGGATGTCTTCCCCTTTCTTTTCTTCAAGTGGAGTTAGCTGTTTATGTTCATCATCTTGGTATGAGAGCCTGTAATGGAAAAGTACATCTTTAAATAAGTCCTGCCTCACAACTCTGCAGGAAGGGTACTGCTCCCTCCTGCTTCAGACTGCTGTTGGTGATTGGCCCCCTGTGCAATATTGTTTTAAAACACCATTGTTTTCTTATCATACCAGTGAGTTAATGGAAGATTCAGATGCAATGCCAAACCACAGTTTGCCTATACAAGCACAAGCTTTCAAGAAGTCCTGGACTTGGGTGTCCTATCCCCCTCTCTTATTTCCTCACCCAAACTAGCAACCCACCAAAATTAGGATCAGAAACTACATATACTATGGAAGGCTAGAATAGGAGCTAATACAGACATACAGTCTTGATTCCCCAGCCTGGAGTTACGAAGGGAAAATATCCTGCAACGACAATCTTACAAATCTCAAATCTGCAATAATTGAACTGAAAACTCACATTTCAGTGGATAGTAGGCTTGGTTCACTGCAGTACTCAGCTTCTTCGTTTAGTTGCTCATCATATGTTTCCTCTTCCTGAGAAGCCTCCTCCTCACAAACAATAGCCACCTGACTGTCTCTGGAACAGGATCTAATAAGCAAAATGACATGATGATTCATACTTAACATAGTTTAGAAATGCAACATGCACATCACACACAGGTTATGGTATAATGTTCACATCTTCTCCCATAAGCACTGGTAAGTAAGAACTGTTTTTAAAGCTCCCAGATACAACAGAGATCTCAACACTGGGTTTAGATCTGCTTTGCTCAGGGCTTATATATGTGTTACCTCTTCCCTTTTGCTACCATACCAAGATGTAATTGCTGAACTACTTGCCTAAGGCAAATCTGAACTTTATCTGGTCCCTTCAACCTATAATTGGTAGAGCATTTTCTTAGTCTTACATTGCAGGCACTGTCCAGTCACCAGGAAGAAAACAAAATAACTTCATTGTGAATTAATATACAGTAGCCTTGTTCAGGACTCATACCTCCATACTTAAGGATGGATTGAGAAGAGGGGCGGGGGGTGGGATCAGGACCAAACTGGATGTACTGTTGGAATACTATGATCAGTCCTATGACTGATCTCCCATTTACAAGGAAAACAAATTTGAAATGTACAGAGCAGCAATGTGATAAGAGGTTGTTTAAGCTTCCCCCCGCCCCACCCATTCTTTGACATGTGGAGGAAGAGTACAAGTTCCTATACTTCCCCAGCCTCACAAAGTAAATAGCAGCTGTGTGTATAATTTTGCTCAGGAAAACAACACAGAGAAAAATTAAACTTTCTTTTTGTTACATTTTGCAGTGATACATTCCAGGCTATTTATTTATTTATTAAAAGATTTTCTATCCTGTCCTCTACAGAATGTGGCCATGGTTAGCATGTGGCCATGCTACTTATTTTCATTTTTTTGGAATATATGTATTAGAAATGATATATTAGTATGATGGCTATCAATGTATTTTGTATTAAGCCATTGCATTAATAAAAATATAAAACGAACTCTGAAACAAACTCTGTCTAGAATCCATCCTGTCTTATAGGAACCAGAGGAATGCTTTCTGGTTACAAGGTGATTCAAATGTGCTCTGGAGAACTACATAAGAACATAAAAAAGCCATGCTAGATCAGAGCAAAGGACCATCTAGTCCAGTACTCTGTACACACAGTGGCAAACCAGCTGCCCACAGGATCCCGCAAGCAGGATGAGTATAAGACCTCTGCCTGCCAAGCTCCTCAGCACCTTTGGTAATAGAGTTTGTGTGTGTTTGTGTGTGTGTAATGTATAGCGCATATATATATATATATATATATATATATATAGAGAGAGAGAGAGAGAGAGAGAGAGAGAGAGAGAGAGAGTAAAATATAGAACACAATAGAATATTAAAGAATTACTTTATAAGTAAGCCCATGACCTACATGAGTACAAATCAATATTTTATCTACTTCATTGAAAGTGGTAATTATTTGTTTTCCATGACACAATAAGCCACAGTGGGTTATCAGTGTGTTTCAGTGTAGCTTGTCATGACATTTGAACCCTACATAGTTTCTTCAGTGTGGTTTGACAAAAATGAACAAACTACCTTGCAAATTCATGAGTTATTGTTGAATTATTTTGTATGCCTTGTCATGACATGTGAACCCAACTTGATGCGTTGTGAGTGGCATGTCATAAGTAGCTACAGAACTGCCTGGTCAGAGCAGCAAAAAAACATGGCTACTCTTCACCATGTTGCTACTATGACTTTGTCAGTGCTGTCTGACATAATTCATTTGCAGCTGTTTAAAATGAATATTTTTTCAGTGCTTTGGAGTTGTGCTATTTTCCCTTTGTTCACAAGTGTATACATTCACCTTTCAGTTTTGTTCACAAGTTCATACACTGTTCACTGTTCACAAGCACATACATTTAGTTTCCAGATCAGTATTGCAAGTGTAGATGTTCCATTTGTCAGTTTCATGCTTCACTGTATCATGCCATGAACTAACCCTTGTTCGCTTCCTCTCCTCACTCTGGTGCTTCCCTTGACCCTGAACTCTGAAAGCAGCAGCTGAAGAGGTTGAAGTTACTGGAGTGGGCTGATGTACTTACTGTACAAATGGATTAGCAACCAGCAGGAGAAAAAATGAATCCATCTGCAAAGTAAAATACATTCAGACTCCAGTAATAATTACACTTGTCCCACTGTGTCCATTTCATTTAGCTGCTGCTTTTAGAGTTTGGGAAAAGGGAATAAGAAACTGTTAAGTCTCGGTTCGAAACAACACAGTGAGAGGATGAAGCCGATTTCAGATTTCAACACAGAGAGAGATAAAAGGATCTGTATTGCTGGTAAGTCAGAGTAAAGTAAATAGAGGACAGGCAAATGTGCACACTTGAGAATAACAGAATTGTTTCATTTGAAGAAACTATTTGCAGAAAAAAATAAAAGTTGCTAACAGAAAAACTGCATAGAAAGGGAGTGACTTTTGGAGTGGGGCAGGAAGCCAGCAAAGTCTCCCTTTGCAGGGGTAAAGATAAAGGATACTGAGATATATGCACAGAGTGGACTGGAAGACAAAGGAGGAAACAAGCATCCAGTTGTCTGCCAGGAATAACATGGCCGAATGGGAGAACAACAGAGCCAGTGTAACTTATCATGATATGTGAAGTTCCTCATTGTCTCCCTTTCTCAGTAGGCCTGTTAGCACTGAAAATAAAAGGCTTAAATTTAACATCAGTTCACATATTAACTTGTATGCCAAGATAAACACCTACCGCCCCAGAGTTTCATAATAACGCATCCTACTTCATCAGGGAAGCGTGGGAAGAAAAGAAGACAGACTCAGGAATATAGATGGAAAGGAAGTAAGAAACACATTAGATGTAGGTTTTCGGGAGAAAGCAGACAAATGAAACAGTTCTATTTGGACAGCATGTGTATTGCCCAAAGGAACCATGATTATGTTATGATCTAATTTCAGTTACCATGATGTTACCTCATCCAAAATGGAAGAACAAATTACAGATAATACTTGGCATTCCTTTTGTGATCTCAACAACTAACATAGGTCTTTACTGCAGTGAATTGTTTAAAATGAATAACTGAAACGCAAGAGAGCTTTCTACACCAGCATTTGCCATATATTTACTTCAGTGTAGTAAACAGAATATTATGCCATCTAAGGTTAAAGGCCAGACTCTACCAGTTTAAAGAAGAGATCTCAAAATAGTTGAAGAGCCATATTCTCTTAGTAGGAGATGCCCAGGTATGAATAGTTTTCACAAAGCAATATAGATTTCATCTCAACTTGATAAGTATCATGTCCCTTAAGTCTTCTTTCCAATGTCTATTCCTCACCACAAGTGTTAAACTCCATGGGTCAGATAATGTTTGGAAGTAATGCCTGTGTTCCTTTTTGCCTATGTGGCCTACAATTTTCAAGAAGGAAAGGAATGAGAGTGGGAGGATGTCACAACAACAAAATTAAATAAGGATTTTTTGTGTGTGAGCACAGCCTTTGCTTGTAGTTTCCATATTCACATACATACACATGTGTGCACACCCCTCTGTGTTTTAGGTATAGAAAGAATGGGCATTGGCTTGATACAGTGTACATCAGCATGATAATATGAATAATATTCATATGTATTTTTCAGTAAGTCAAAGCATGTGCCTCATTGAAAATTAAAACATGTAAGGCAAGCTAGTATTAGTATTCCTCTAATATAAATGATTAGGAGGAATGGAGTTTGGGCTGATGTTGACTGCTAGGGACCAGCCATGATTCAGATAAAACTTTTAACCATTAAACTAGAAAGGGTTTTGCCTCTGGTCTTAAGTAATAATTATCTTATTACTAATACTTATTTTGCTATATTCCGTATCTATACAATGATATATACATGTGTATGTATATATACACTGCATTATTATATATACATATACATGTTCTATATACTATGTAAGAGAAATGAAATATATTTCAAATGATATGACAATCATATCAAAGTCAAATGATTGATATTTATTTTAAAATATAAAAATAGACTTGTTAGTGAATGAATTAGTATCTGTTATAGATTCATATGAGTAAAGTAAGTAGTGCTATATTAATGACAAATAACAGAACTACTACTACTTCCGGTGTTCTTTACCTTCTGCAGCCAAGCTTCCAAGGAACTTCCTGGATCTGTGCAGTGGGTGACAAAGGAGCGCTGTAGCTTTCCACGGTGCTGACAGTGGTGGGATAGCTTGGTGGATTGGGAAAGCGGCTCAGGGCAGTGTTGTTGGCATTATTGATGTTAGCATTGGAGCCTGATGATGAGTAGCTGCTTGGCGTGAAGGTAGAATCCACGAGCTTCTCATGGGATGGGGATTCAGGGTCTCCTTGGTTGTTGCTAGATTTATTGATGTGCAAAGGGCGCTGCGTAGTGAATGTCTGAGGGAATGGACTTCTGCCGTCACTTTGGTAGTAGCCAACGTGATTTCCAAACAAACCACCAGCTCTCTGTTAGCAAAATAAGCATATTTGTGATGAATAAGGCAAAGGGCCACTTCAGAGGAGCCTATTTTTTTGAAGAAGTACAATATTGTTCTTTGGTATTTGTATTATCAGCTTATATTTACATTGCAAAATGCAAGATAGCATAACTTTTCCCTGTCAGTATCTTTCTTGAAGCTTTTTCTTGTTTTATAGAAAACATTATAACTCTTACCAGTAAGAATAGTCAAGAAAAATAGTATAATAAAAGTGAACAGGAGGGAAAATGATGGAACATGGAAATTCAGGATTTCACTACAGGATCCAGAATTTCCTAACAGAGATATGAGGAAGGCATCTCATTGCTTTCTCTCTAGCTTGCTCAAAAAGAAAGGGAATAATCACATAATCTAATATTAATGCTATATTAATTTTAATCTTTGCAACCCTCTCTGAAAGCCTCAGTAGGCTGAAAAGTGGAATAAACATGCTATAAATAATTACATAAATCAAATATGAATTTACTAAGTACCTTAACCAATCCAATTAGTTTTACTGGACACAGAACCACTGATTGGTTCAAAATTGAGAAAGGAGTTCGGCAAGGTTGTATACTGTCGCCCTGCCTATTTAACACATATGCAGAGCCCATCATGAAAAAAGCAAGGACAGATGAATCAAAAGTTGGAATCAAGATTGCTGGGAGAAATATCAACAACCTCAGATATGCAGATGATACCACTCTCATGGCAGAAAGTGAAGAGGAACTAAAGAGCCTCTTGATGCAGGTGAAGGAGGAGAGCGCAAAAGTTGGCCTGAAACTCAACATTAAGAAAACTAAGATCATGGCATCCAGTCCTCTCACTTCCTGGCAAATAGATGGGGAAGAAATGGAGGTAGTGACAGATTTTATTTTCCTGGGCTC